GTAATATACTAATGCACTTATGTGGGGTCATTTTTTCAAACAAAAAATTTGAATTAAATTGGTCCGATCAAGTGAACACAATAAATAAATAAATAAATAAATAAAACTGATATATTTACTTAAATATCAACTTTTGGGTGATCGGTATATCACACACATTATATATACAATGGTCAACTACTTTGTCATATGTTTTCTTAATGGTTTCTATTGGGTTAGCCGAAGTTGGTCACTAACATATGGGGTGTTTGGACAGGTGATTTCAAGCATGATGGAGTTGTTTGAGAGTGTTGGAGTTGATATGGAGGCTTCTGACATGTCCTTCTCAGTGAGCTTAGACAAAGGTCAAGGCTGCGAGTGGGGAAGCAGAAATGGGTTGTCCAGTTTGTTTGCACAAAAGAAAAACGCATTCAGTCCATACTTCTGGCAAATGGTTCGAGAAATTATAAAGTTCAAGGATGACGTCATCAAGTACGTACAAGTGAAATCTTTACTCATGATTAGTTTGCAATCAGTTTTTGATAACTTCTTGAATTTTTTTATTTATTTAATTTTAAAAAAATATTGTATCATGCTAAATATGACCCAAAACAAATTTCTAGTTGTGCCCGCGGTCTCTCTCTCTCTCTCTCTCATCATGTCCCATTTATTATCATTATTATTTTTTTACCTTACATCTCTTCATAACTCTTAACTCTTTCATATTTATTTTAGATTATACATTAGTGAAACAATTAGATAAAACGAATGATTCATGATTATATTCTATTTTTACAAATATCTATGATTATGACAAATGATAACATCTTTGAAAATTTTCAAATGTTTATAATGTTGATCTATTGATTTTGAAAATATTAAACTATCATCGATATAAACAATAAAAAATTCAGTGTAAGGATTAAAAATGTCATTCAAAATATGTTAAAATTCTAAAGGGGCATTTTTAAGACCAAATGGCATTACTATCCATTCATACTGTCCAAAGGGTACACAAAAAACAGTTTTATATCTGTCCTTTTCTGTAATTTGTACCTAGTAATATCCTCATTTAAGATCAAATTTAGAAAATATTACAGTAAATTGTAATCTATCTAACAGATCTTTTATATTGGGAATTGGGTATCGGATCCAACTCAAAGCCAGGTTGAGTGGTCGATAATCAATAACCAAACGAGGAACTCCTCATTCTTTTTCAGAGTTTTTATTGACATAAAAAGCTCTGCAACTCCATGGGGAGTAACTGGTTGTCACTAGCTTCTTTTCCATTAGAGAGCTAATTTCAGTTTTGCAAAGTTCTAAGTAGTCAGCCTTCATGTGGCTTGGACTAGCTTTGGAAGGGATCATAAAATCGGTAAATCCTTTTTCATAAGCCAAAGAAACAATATGTTTCTTTCTGTCCCAAAATGCATTAGGAACATCACTGCAGATATCTTTTAGACTATTTTGTCGTATTGACTCGATTTTCTGTTACTCAGTGGGATGTACCAATCTCTGATTGATTGCCAAGGAAGAGACTTCCTTTTGCAAATAATTCAGTTACTTTTCCTTAAATATAATACTATATTTAAAAGCATTGATATGCTTGTTTACTGGTTTGGTCAAAAACTCAAAAGTGATTGTCTAACCCTGTAGAACTGAGCATATTTCACGAGAATCAATTTTCTTAATTGGCATAATCAAGGCTAAAAAGGGAGTGCCCAAAATAACCTGTTGTGCCATGTTTTTTATAAGTAAAAAGGTAGATGAAAGACAAATACCTTGTTTACAGATAAAAACGTGATTAAGTTTATACTTAATTTGCATCTTACCACCACTTGCACTAGTAAGACCTTGAGTGGTTTTCTCAAAATATTAAGTAGGGACCAATCATTCTTGGATGCAGTTCATGTCTGCACCACTATCAACTAAAGCAACAGCATTAGTGATGGTAAATTCCTAATTGAGTACCAAGTTAATGAAGATGTACCATTTTTGGTAAGTAACCTGATTTAAAAGATTAAGATAATCTTCAGGTTTGGTTACTTCAATCTGTGAGGATGAAGATTCAGTAGCATGATTAGCCTTTTTCTTTAAAAGTTTGATCTCCAAATCCATATTGGTTTGATGGATTTTCAATTAGAGAAATTCAGCTTTTAAAAGGTTAACCTCCATTCTTAAATCTGGAAGATTTGCAGGACGAGAAGTTTGGCTTTGATATTCCAATCTGTTTAGAACTTCTTTCATGCTATAATGATTCGCAGATCTTGGGAAATTTGGATTATCATTTTCCTCGTTAGGTTGTGCAATGGCATAACTTATTTCAAATATCTTCATTTTGATTTGAGGATCTTGAACTTGATTTATAAGATCTAATAAAGATTGTTGATGGGCAGTTAAGACATTTAAACTCAGCCCATTCATTTCAACAATAGCTTTATAATAATCATGTGAAGGATTACAAGAATATTCTGGATTACTATGTTCTGCTTCAGAGGAAGAAGAAGACTGTAATTCCATGACTATGTTCCATGACTATGTCCTCAAAATTATCATAAGAACCAACATCAGAAGAACTAGTATTAAGTAATAATTTACTTAATTGGAGTTTTAGCTCTTCATTAATTTGAAGACTGCTAAGCTTCTCCTTAGTTCGACACTTATTGGCATAGTGGCATATACGTCCACATTTGAAACACTTAGCCTCTGATTTGGATTTTCCTTTACCCTTTGCTTTGGGAATATATTTCTTTTTAGGCTTAGTGTACTGTTTTGAATCATCAATTTTCTTTTGATAACTCTTTCTTTTGGAATACTTCATTTTATAAGGCTTCTCAGCCTTGTGTCTTTTCCTAGTAGTAGGATAAAATAAATGAGTTTGATAGGCAAATTGATCACAAAATTCATGATTATATTCTATTTTTACAAATATCTATGATTATGGCAAATGAAAAAATAATGATACAAAATTAAAAGATTTACTAGTTAAAAAAGGATCCAATTAGATAAAATGAGTTCAGTTTTGCTAATGAAAAGATTAAAACTCTAGGTAATTTTCAATGCATATTATGTTCGAAAGTTATAAAATGGAGAGAAGTATAATAAAAAATGGCTAGTGTATTCTAAAATTTGGACAAAGTAAATTTATTTATTTATGTGTGCGTGTGTGTGTCTATATATATATATATATATATATATATATTTTTGGTTGAAAGTTATTCAATTCACGGGTAATCATTTCAAGCGTCACTTTTAATTAAAAGGGTTAGCCCAATCCACAAGGCTCGCTATTGCGAGGGAGAATAAGATTACATATTTTTACATCTACATACAAAGAGAGTCTTTTTAGTTCATAATCAAACTAAAGGGTTAGCTCACTGCACTAAACTTTCAGTATTGTGAGATCACAAATGATCAGATCGATGTAAACCACCTTACCTATACATGTGTAGATGTCGTTTTCTACTTATGTTTTTATTGCGACCTCCGGGTTATAATGGGACAATCTTTATGTTGCATTATACCGGCCGCCCTTGTGATTCTATTTATTGAAACGGATCTTTGGGTTATTTCGTCACTAAAAGCAACAGAAAGAGGTGATTATTAATTTTTTTTCCTCGAATGGAATGATTTCATTAAAATATAACATCAAGTACACAGTACCAAAGGGGGCATACCCCCGCAGAACAACTCAAAGAGCAAAATTAGAAAAAGAACCATTTCTCATGGAGTCAGAAAAACAAATAAAAACTATAAGAAGACATTAATACACTACTTTGTTTGGAAGGAAGGAAGAGGAGTGAAGGAAAGACAGGAAGGAAGAAACAAACTTCTTTCGTTTAATATAAATGAGGCAATGAGAGAAGAAAAAAAATGATGGATGAATCATCCTCCTTCCTTCACAAATTTTCTTCTGACACGAAGAAAGAAAGGCAATGTTATTATAAATGTTTTTAAATTACAAATTTTTCTTTATAATTAGCCATTTCTCTTCTCTTCACTCATAACAAACAAAATAAGATATTATCTTATTTTTTTCTTTTCCATTCATCGAAACAAAAAGAGAGTAGTACATAATCTCTCTCTTCTTCTCTCCCTCCTATTCATTTTTCTTCCATCCTATCAAATGGAGCATAAAAGATGAGAAGGAGATCCTCAAAACAAAGAGGTGATTGTTACTAATAGTACATAGTATACTGTTACTATATTATTGAAGGAGCACTTAGGGTGTGTTCAGCTGCATGGAATTAAAATTTATAGAATTTGAGAAAAATAACTAAGAAAATTGAACAAATTTTTTTTTTTTTTAAATTCCACCAATTCCAATTCCAATTCCAATTTCAATTCTATACAGCCAAACATAGCTCAGTGATTTTTACTTAATTGGCCTATATATTTTTGATCTTACCAGTGCACATTCTATTCATAAGTTCTGAGGTACTCATGGGAAAGATGTTCTCTATTCATTTAAGATGAACAGACTGAATGCCACATTGTTTCCTATAAATGCAGGTATGTTGAAGAGGTGGACAACAACCCAGACATCGACCCCAATGAAACATTGGGGCAATTCATCAATTCAAGGGGCTACTCGGAGTTATTCCTCAGGGCTTATCTTGTAAGGCCAGCATTACATTCTATCATCATAATTCATACTTTTATAGCAAAGTATATCAATCAAGTGTTCTCAGCTGAATCCGGATCCTTGCCTTGGTCCTGTGTCACTAGTGCAACACACTATATTCTTGTGACAGAAATGCAACATCTTAAAATAATAATGTAAATTTTTTTATTTCAAAAGGTAAATTTCATTACATATACAAAAGTAATGAAAGGGAGTTTAACAATAAAACTAATTTAAGTAATTTTATATGAGTAGAGACACTCTTATTATGGTCATGACAACAAATATATTAATGACATCATCACTAGGTTAGCCTCGATTCATCATTATCCTATGACTAACCTAATCAATAGCCCAACCCCAAATAGGAAAGGCCCGAGTCCAAGCTAGGAGGATGGCCCAAATGGCAACATTTTAAATTCGAAATAACCGTTGGTTACAATCCCCATATCCGGTAACAGAGTCTTTGGGGGGACCCATGGCTCCTCAAAATGGATGGTCTGGTGGTCTTGCCGGAGGACGAATAATACAGGACGGAAGCTCCCACTTGCTTGCAATGAGTCTGGCCAATGGGCACTCCAAGCTATCAACTCTGACTATGTTAATGGAAGGATATGGAAACCACAACGTGTTTGTTAAAATGCCCACAAGGGACACAGAGTTGTGTTCAAGAAGGATGTGCATCTTCTGTTTAGAGTCGGTCGCCTTAGTTGAATGGTCACTTAGAAAGTGAAGGAATGCTTGGGAATTGAAGGATTATACCATACAAGATGCGGCCAAGGTAATAAGGGAATGTGCTGGTTCAGGTGTTTCATGGTTTGTGCTATTGAAGGGACCAATTTGAAATTGTCGTTCTTGTATGGACAGTGGATGGGAAGGTTAGCTGTTAGTTGCAGCTGTGGTAAGATTGTGGTTATGGTGGCTGGAAAGGACCGTGTTGACTGCTCAGTGAGTGGAGATTCTTTGGTGAAGTGGACCAAGATGACACCAACTGTCAAACAAGAAATTTGAGTTACTTCCATTTCCAATTTCGAGTTCGCGAAGGGGTTGAACAGCTGGCCTAAGTTGAAGAAGCTTCCTCCAATTCCAAGAGTCCAGTCCTGGTATCTTAACTTCCCATATACTTCTTCCTCTCAAAAGGTAGGTTTTCACCCATTGACTCTCGATCATGTTCCACATGTGCTTCATGACTGCAATCTTATTCCATGAGAAAAGATTAGGACGACCTAACCCCCCACCCCTTAGCAACTGTTTTTTTAAGCATTGTACCTGACCACAAAAAAGCCCTGAAAACACCATTAAACTCAATAATAGTACTCTTAGGTAGGATGAACTTTGTGCTGCAATACATTTGTGTGGAGAAAAGCACAGCCCTAATAAGCTGCAGCCTCCCAGCAATGTAAAGTTGTTGTATAAGCGATGTAGAGGCACGTGATGCGACACAGGAGAGGATCCAGTTTCTTTCTGTACTACAAACTCTAGGCATACTAATAATAAATTTGTACAGGTTCCAATGTGTGCTTCAATCTGGTCCTGCCATTCAGAAGCATTAATGAGCTTTTCTGCTTATTATATTCTTTTATTTTGCCTCAATCATAATCTACTACAGGTACATTTCTTTGTTTAAACTCTTGTTATATGGATTATGGTACTTGGGTTTCTTTATGTCAAAGTATTTTGAAGTGTTCATTCAAGTTTGTTATTTAGTTTGTCTCACAGCTCTTTGGCCGCTCTCAGTCACTTACTGTCAAATTGAGTTCACATATTTTTGTCAATAAGGTGATTTTAGTGTTTTGGGGTGCCTCAAAATTATCTACTTGCAACTAGTGATATATTCATGCCATATGTTTCTTGTATGACTTATTTTGTGGGGCTAATAAACAGGTTAGACAGGAGTTGGAGAGCAGAGGTTTTCAAATAAGAACTGGGTGTGAGGTGCATTCTGTTTCCACAGTTGATGAGGGTGAGTACTCTCTCTCTCCTCTTTCAAGTTGAACTGTTATAATGGCACATAGAGATGCCTCCAAACAAGATTAATACATCCAAAACACCAAAATAAATGTGTGTGTGTGTGTGTGTGTGTATACCAAAAATGTAAAACACAAAGAACAATATAAAGTCAGTCATCTCTTAACTGAATGTTCTATATACTAGATGAATACCTGTTCAGGTTCTATCTGGGACCTTCCTTTTTAACTTGCACTGACATCAAAGTATCTCTTTCATCTATTCTGTTGAAGGCCTACTCACTTTCCTTATAAAAATATTCTCTGATTTATTTTTCTCCACATTGTAAACGTTTAATGTTCTAATGATTCATAGGAGACTATCAACTAGGAAAAAAATGATGCGTAGGGGACCCTTTTTATTTCGCATGAGTAGCAATCCATACAACCTCCACAAATGGTGTACTATTGCAGATGTTTAATCTACTTGTACCACATTTCCTTTTCCTTTCTTCTTCTTCCTATTTTTTTTTTTTTTTTTTTTTTTTTTTTTGGTATGAAAGGTTACCTGTACCACATTTTCCTTCAAGAAGCCGTTAGTCATATCCGCATATGGGATAAGTGATTTCTTTATGTCATTATTCAAGTAGGATCTTAAAGCCGCCCACTGGCTTACTATATCCAGATTAGTCAATGAACCTCTTATAGCAAACCACTGAGAAAATGACTCTGAATTGCTGCTGAGAACCACTTTACTAGCAACTTTAGTTTTCTGACCTTATTCATCCTGTGCTGATCTAGCAATGAAAATCTAAATTTGGTTGTCTTCTCTGTCAATTGAACTAATCATTTTTCTTTTCGTTAGCAGGATCCTTGAATGGTCACTTTCCATTGGCCATTTCGAATGATATCTGTGACCAAAGACAACCCTCTCTCCATAGGTTTCCCTCAGTGGGTATCTGAAATTCAAGCTGTAAGAATTTCCCTTCCCCATGTCCCACTTCTTATAACTCTTGATTGTCATTCCGAGCCTGAAAACCTTTTTTCCAACCCCAAGAGCTGTCAAGGTGTATATCCCAAATTATCTGCCCCCATCAGAAATTTATGATCCCACTTAATACACAAATATATCTTGTTGGTCAACAAGTTCCATATGTGCCTAGTCATCGATACCTTTTTGCAATCCCCATTCCTCTAAAACCCAAGGCCCATTCTTTCTTAGGAATACACCAGGTTGCCAGCTAGCTCTACTTGTAGATTTTTGTATATCTGTCCCACCCAGTAAAAAGGTTCAAAAGAGGGTTTAACCTCTTTAATCATTTTCTACATATGAATAAACATACTGCTTAGTGAATTTGAATACTAAACAAGACTGCTCAATAAGCTGCGTACTCCCAGCATAAGAGACTTGGCTGCCCAACTTTGAATTTTGTTAGTAATTTCTGCACTAGATCGTTACAATTCTCAACCTTGGGTTTATGCCTCGTTCCTGTATCATTTGTTAAAGTCTCTCACTGATTGCTCATTCAAACAAATTTTTTATTTTTTATTTTTTTCATATTCAAACAAGAAATGAAGATACAACTCTTGGAGAGAGCTTGGCCCACACCTTGACAAGACTTTTGGAATTCGACAAGACCCTTGGAAAGGGCAACCCCTCCCTCCACCCATAGAGTATAGGTTTCAGACCAGACCAGTTTGGGGAATTCATTAAGAGCTCTCTTTAAGGTTTTAATGGACTCCAAGTCTGCTGAGCTTAGGAGAAACAGATCATTGACAAAGCAGTGTGGGTGATGTCTATGCTTCACATTTAGGATATATTTGACCATAGATTGTTACAAGATGGGACCAGAAAAATACCTTTGTTTTTGGCCCCACCAAAATACTGAGAATTTAGGAGCCATGATGCGAGCCTTTATCCATTGCATCCAGTTGACAGGAAAATTTAGCATCTTCAGAACATCCAAGACCAAATTCAAATTCAATGAGAGATATGAGTTCATAAGATTATTCTTCAAAGCACCCCTAGGAGATCTTTTGTTTCTGTGACAGTTCTAATCTCCCAGACGTGAAAGAAGACTGATATGAACTAGTTTTGACATAACTTCCCGTATTGTAGTAGCAAGCAACTTGTATACACTTGTGCACTTTTGCAACAAGAACTAGGTCTATACTCTGTCATAGGATTAGGTTTCTCCATCTTAGATATAAGGGCTATTAATTGTTTTTCTGATTCTTATTTTAGTATTCCTTGGTGGTTGCATTTTGATTCAAACAAAGGTGAATTTTGGATAATTTATGATGATCAATAATATATGCTTTTAGTAGGCTTCAATTTTGATTAGGTCAATTAAAAATAGATTTCTTTTTTGAACTATCATTCTGGTCTACAATAGTGGATGAATATGTTGAATAATTGAAACTCACTTAAAAAGAAAAACATTTTGAAATATTTTATAATATTGGAAGGCTAATAAGTGAGAGGATGCCGGGTCATGTTTGGGAGCAGCCACTTTATGGAAACAATGCCGAAAGTTTGATCTTTTCCAACATTCATCTGTTAGCACCCCCATAAGCGAGAACAAACCCCTACCATGAGATTCTCGTCAAAATCTGCAAAAAGTTCCAGTATGTTATTTTGGCATTGGAAGTTTATGCCTTTGCAGTGGCCAAGGAAAACATTTCACAGATAATGAATGTCCATCCTTTTACCCTTTTGCTAAGAGAACAAAACATCTTGCTTTTGCATTCATTCTATTGCAATATGGGATCTAATATTAATGAAACTTATAGTTTGTGATAAGTATAAGCAATTGTTATTGTTGTAAAGCTGTAAAATATACATATGCAATGTCAAAGACTTGGCAGTTTGAATCAATTTTGTGCATTATGTTGATCAGAATTATGAAAGTTTGAATCAATTATTATATTGATCGAAATTATGAAAAGAGCTGGATCAGGTTGCTTTATAAGATGTGAAGATGGTTCTCAAGAACTGTACAATGGTTGCATAATGGCCATCCATGCTCCAGATGCTTTAGAAATGTTGGGGGAACAAGCGACATGTGATGAAACTAGAGCACTTGGTGCATTCCAATATGTTTATAGGTGCCGACACAGTAAAATCTTCCCCACAATATTTGACAGTTTTGAATTACATTTTTCTAATATTCTTACGCATTCATGAAAATTATAGCTAAAGCTTACGAAAACCAGGTTATTTTCAGGATTGACTAAGGTAGGATAGGATTTGTTTTATTTTATTTCTTTTAATTTAATTTTTGAGCCAAAAGCTATGATTCATTTTTAAGTTTTCACAGGCCTCATCTTCCACTTGTGCTGCTGATGCTTCTTATCATCTCATTTATATCTAGTTAAAACAGAAGTTATATTCAAATCAACTTTTTGTGGAAATTTTTTACTTTTATAAATGTATATCAAATTACATATTTCATTTGAAGTGGTCTCCATCAAAGTTTTTAAAAATACATATATTTTTCTTAACTTGATTACAAGAAATCTATGATTCCTACCTTCAAAATTAGCATCTCTGTAGTGTTCATGTTAATTGGAGTACATAAAAAACTGCCACGTCAATTTGAAAAGTTTGGAACTACTACTAGATAATTCTTTCTATGGTGTTCTGACTAAGTTGATACTCATTTAATTATTTCCTTTTTGGTTCATTAAAATACGGTGGTTGCAACTGATGTTTTCCTTTAGTTTATTTCTCAAAAATGGACAATCATTCATTAAGTTTTTACGGCAGTGATATTTTCCTTCATCGCGACAAAAGTCTAATGCCCAAAAACCCAGCAACGTGGAGTGCATTGAATTTTCTTGGTACTATGGATAACAAAGTATGTGTAACATACTGGCTCAATGTTCTCCAGGTTTGTAACCCTCTCTCCTCGTGTGAATTGTAGTTGTATCATGTATGTATGTGTTGCAGAAGTAATTACCATTAATTAAGGAGGTTATGGACTTCAAGACCTTATTTAGTAATTTTTCTCAGATATTCTGATCCACATTAAGATGTATCATATGGTAATTTCTCATTTCAGTCAGTACACAAATTCCCTATGGAGAGGCAAGTTTAGTCAGAGCTATGAATATAAACTAATGAAGATGTTAGAGTTATTATTATTTTACAGCCAATAATACCCCTAGGTTAATATAACCAAAGGAGGTAATAACTGACTGTAAAATAATAATAACTCTGACAGAAGACAAGGATATCCCTCTCTGGAGACACATAGGAATGCTCTCCCCCAAATAACAAAATATTAAAGAGCCACAAAAATAGAGCTGTATGTATGTCTGAGTCACACTCAGTCATTGGCACCAAATCCAATTTGGAGAACTTTGGAGAGACATAGGATTTTTCTACCGCAAATAATTCTTCAAAACCTAACTTAATCAAAAGATGGTTCCTCTATTGTAAATCTGACTACTGGAACCAACAAGGTCTAATTACTAAATATTAATCTAGACGAATCTCCTCTTTTTGGGCAGTTGTTCCTCTTTTCTTCCATTTGGACTATTGTTTTCTTTATTATTGATAGCGTGCTACCTAAAGTTAACTTGTATGGAAAGCTTCAAAATTCTAACCAAAAAATGCATATTAAGTGGATAATCGATAAAATATCAAAGATAAAGTTTTCACATGCTCAAACATTCTATTATGATGTTTCCATATAATTTACCGTCTCTCAGAAAGTGAGTTCTTTTCTGAGATTAAAATGCGTGATTATTCCATAAGCTTTCTGAGCATGCAGAACATTGGTGAAACAAACCTACCTTATCTGGTTACTGTTAATCCATTTCACACACCTGAGCATACATTGCTGAAGTGGTCAACTGGCCATCCACTCCCAACGGTTGCTGCAGCAAAAGCTTCCTTTGAGCTTGATCGAATTCAAGGGAAGAGAGGAATATGGTTCTGTGGAGCTTACCACGGTGAGTTTTCTTCCTTATGATGAAAACTTAAAACTCTTTGTAAATCACATTTCATTGCATGAGTTCAGATCCTTTTTTCTTGAACCATAGTGTGTTTGAAAAACAAAATAAAAAAATAATATTTTTTAGGGAATTACAAAAGACTGCTCTCTAAAATTAGACCTTTTTCTTGACTCAGTGTTTAGGAAGTGGAGATCAAACGAAGTTTTAAACTGCTTTCTGTTTTCTAGTGACAATTTTGTATTCTCAGAAAAATGAACCAAATAAATCCTAAGTTTCTATGTCCATTTTATAGCACATAATTTGCGATCTCAAGGGAAGTATTCATGTTTTAAATTAATGCACATGACTGCTTAATGATTGTTAATGTTAGGAATACTTTTGAAGTTTCATGCAAGAAATATAGTGCTTCGATTCTTTAAGCCGTCGTGACTTTTTATTTTGCATTGCTAAGGTCTGCCGTCTGTTGTACTTTCATCTGTTCAGAAAAACAGAAATAGTTTATCTTCTTTCTGGCTAAGTTAATAAGCTTATAATTTACTGACACACATGCTTTACATATTCACTTTCAGGATATGGATTCCATGAGGATAAGCTAAAGGTATCCTAGGTTTTTTTTAATAACACGTGTGTGTGTGTATATATATATATATATATATTTTTTTTTTTTTGTGATAACACAAATAAAAGTTGCTTTAAAATATATAACAACGATTTTGAAGGCAATTGAAGAATGTGCTTTCCACATCTTATTGATGATAAAAGCTAATAGCTATTGCCTTTGGTGTTTGGTATCCTCTTAATTGTTTGCTTGATATATTTTACATGTAAAAAGATAACATAGAAACTCATTTAGTTGGTATTATGTGGCTTAAACTGATGTATAGTTTTTGCAGGCTGGCATGGGCGCTGCACATAGTATTCTTAAAAAGAGTGTTGCTGTTCCAAATAATCCAAGATATATGGTACCTTCTTTGGCTGAAGCATGGGCATGCACTATTGTTACCAAATTTCTTCAACATTTTATCTCAACTGGCTGCCTAATGTGAGTTCACTCAGAGGACATATTTATATTATTTTACTTCTTGAAATGAAATAAACTTATATTTGAGCCAAGACACTCTATGGGTGTTTATTTAGTCATTTTGTTGCTTGGAAGAGGGCATCGTGCTAATTTTCCAATACTTTTGTTGGGAAGTGTGATCTGTTTCTGTTTCTTAGGAGATCAAAACAGAAAATTTGAGATGATTTAGGGCTTGTGTAACAAGAGGACCATAAACTGCACCAGGAAAGATTGGTTCGGTTCAAGCTATAGTAGCTACTTGGGCAGGAAAGGTGCTAAAAGAACATGATTTTCAATCGTACTTATATAGCCATAAAATAGGATTGTATGGTTTGATGGTTGTATTCTCATGGTAGATGGAATGATAGGACAGGGGGTATTGTTTGGTGCAATGGTAAAAGCTCAGAGTGACAGTAACAAGTCACTGGTTTAAGCTTGAAATTACCTACTTTATATAAAATAATGTTTAATTTATAAAAAAAAATGGTGAATGCTAGGATTCATTGGATAATCCATTATCTACAAAATTGTGGTGATTTTAGTTTCTAGTTGCATTATTTATGCACCGTGAGTAGTACTTTTGCCTTAAATTTTCAATTATAATTCACTGAACTCTCTGACTTCTGTTTGATTTAATCTACACTTGCTTTCTTCCTCTTGCTGCTAAAACTCTGATGCATGACGCTCAAATGTAGCTTTCATCAAAGTGTCATCCAGATCCCTTAAGGTCTTCTTTACCACAACTAAGTAATGCCCATCCTGCTTTCCTTTTTCTTTTTCTTATTTATTTATTTATTTTTATTATTTTATTTAATTCACTCTTTGTTGCATAATCTGATTTTTTGTGATCCAATTTAGTTAATAACTGATCTTGACATTGAACTGTTTTCTATGAATTCCAGCACAAAACCTAATTAAAATTTGGTATCATGTCTTTTGTGGCACACCCTAGCTTATTGGAAGGAGGAGGTACAGTTTTCACCTTTGAAGGAACAAGAAAGAAAAGTCTTCTTAAAACTTGTCTGAAAATTCACAATCCCCAGTTTTACTGGAAGGTATGCGCCTATTATCTGTGTTTGACATTTCTTTCAATAGGGGTGCGTCATATATTTCTAAAGATAAACAACAGCCAAATATATAATTGTTGATTAAAATTAAGTTAGAGTTCTGTGATATATAAATTTCTTACTTGGAATTCTTTTGACAGGTTGCTACTCAAGCTGAATTAGGCATTGCAGATGCATACATTAATGGCGATTTTTCTTTTGTTGATAAAAGTGAAGGTCTTCTGAATCTTTTCATGGTAATTCTGCAGATCTATGCTTAGTTTCAAACTTTCAAGTGTTCCCTGTAGATGTTTACCTTTCCAAAATTCTATTCTGCAGATTTTTATTGCCAACACAGATTTAAAAAATTCTGTCTCAAGATCTAATAACAAAAGGTAAATATTGATTTGAACCAGCTATACTGTGATATGAGTGTACGAATTTTGGTCATATCCTAATTATCACTACTTGAGTTTCCATCGATTCTGTTTTGGCATTAGGGGTTGGTGGATGCCATTGCTTTCCACAGCTGGAATTGCATCCACAAAGTATTGCCTCAAGCATGTTTTGCGGCAGAATACTCTTACCCAAGCTCGCAGGAACATCTCTCGTCATTATGATCTGGTACGAGATACCAATCCATTGACAAATGTCTTTTCATTCTCCCTCTCAATAAGTTCAGAAATTACTTGCTGGAGGTTCATAATTCTCTATCTGCATGGTATTGTCTATAGCCGTATAGTTATGAACAGAAGTATCACATGACATCCTAGTTTAAAAAATTATTTGGACGATGGTTTCTGTCCTTCAAAATAAAAATTGTTTTTAGAAATGAAGATTTTTTTTTATCAAGACAGTGAGTATTTCAATGAAAGCTGAATGAAGGGACATGTTGTATAGATGAGCTCATACCAAACAATGTAACAGTAATAAATAAAAATAAAGAATAAAATAAAACAAGTATCAGCATTTCAATACCATATACAGCAGTGTGAAAATGAAATAGCATGTATGCATATGCTCTTAAAATTGGAACATTTGAAATTGAACATGCAATAATGTAATTAACATGATATGTCTTAGTTGCTCAAAGGGAGGGAAAATGCAGAAGTAAGTTTCAGGGTAGGATCAGGGAAGAACTAATAAATGAACTTACATTATTCTACTGTAGAAAATAGAAGTATGTATTAAATAACATGAGTATTTAGCCGCCTCCCCATGTCGTTGGATTTGGATGAATCAAATCCGACGCTCAGGCATATACCTGCACCCCACAAATGTAATTGAGTCCAATCAAGCGGGTCTCTAGTTAATAATACACTTCTACCTTTGGATAATAATTTCTTTATGTTGATCAAAATATGTTTTAATAAAACAAGAGTCTTTATAAAATAGCTTTATCATCAAGTTTATTTTCTTCAATTTCCATCAGAATGGCCTGTAACCCTTTTTGTTTTCATGGTAGCATCATGCAGATCTGTATGAATTTGCATATACCAACTTTTGTTTAAAACGATATCACACCTGTTTGAAATTATATTATTGCAAGTAATTAGCTTGCAATCTGACTATTTGCATACACCAAGTTTTCGTTTTCATGGTAGTATAAATTAACTTTCAAATGTAATCTGACTATTTGTTTTTGGTTTTTTGTTTCGCAGAGTAACGAACTTTTCGCTCTATTCTTGGATGAAACAATGTCATACTCCTGTGCAATATTTAAGGTCCAGATTTTGATCTTTTGATTATTTTATCTTCCAACCCCAAAATTTATCCTCTCTTTTTTTCGAACTTTGTAATAGTGTTTCCATTTCTGATAGACGGAAAGTGAAGACTTGAAAGTTGCACAGCTAAGAAAAATCTCAACCCTGATTGAAAAAGTGAGGTTATCTATAACATTTGTTTCATTTTTAGTGATAATTTCTCAGGAAAATTATCTTATTTGCACTATTTTCTGTTCCAATCTCATTTTTAATGATAAATAAAATTTCACTATCTCATTTTTTTATGAAAATTTTTAATGAATTCTATTATGTTTCTAGGCTAGAATTGTTGAGAAACATGAAATTCTTGATATTGGGTGTGGTTGGGGAAGTTTAGCTATTGAAGTTGTAAAACGAACTGGATGCAAATATACTGGCATAAGCTTATCTGAGGAGCAACTCAGACTTGCGGAAATGCGAGTGAGGGAAGCTGGCCTTCAGGTGATTAGTTTTTACTAACTAGTCTCAAAACTGTAATTAGAGTATCTTTATTTGTTTCTTGTTACCTTGAGACAGTTGTTTCTGTTGTGTCTCTTATCATTTTAAATGGACTTCACTCTCAGGACCGCATAAGATTTCTTCTCTGTGACTATCGCCAACTACCTGATACCTACAAATATGATAGGATTATCTCTTGGTGAGTTCATCTCCAAATTACCTACCAGAACATAAAAAATGGAGTTCATCTCCAATTTACATCAGATAATAACTTGCCAAATTTGCACACATATTTACAGTGAGATGATAGAGCATGTTGGCCACGAATACCTTGAGGAGTTCTTTAGTCGTTGTGAGTCACTATTGGCAGAAGATGGGCTTCTTGTCCTACAGGTAAGGATAATACAAATAAAAGTAAAAAAATAAAATAAAAGAACCCAAATTCTGCATAGTTTGTTCTCTACCATTGTATTTTTTGTTCATTTAGTTCTTTTATTTAAACAATTTTTTATCTCTTGGTTGCATTGAAAGAAATTAGTGTTTGAATTCCTATATATAGTTTCAGCAATGGCAATTAAAATTCACATCAGTGAGCCAATTCTGCATATTTTCTAATGGATTACTTGCTAGCATATATGTAGTATAAGCTAATTAATCAATTTGATTTGAGAGGAATCTGATGGATAAATTTCTGAAGCTTGAAATGGCTAAATTATAAAACAATGTCACATTCTAATGGGATATTTTAGACGCGATGGAGATCAGAGCAATTTGATTTCACCAATGATTTAAAAGATGTCCGCTTTGCTAGCTTTTGATAGCATTTAAATGATTTGTTTTTCCATGACACATACACTTCAGGATCTCAATAAATGCCTCATTTTGATGTAAAATCACATATTAAAATTTCAACTTTTGTTTTTTTTCCCCACACAATGCCATGCCAACTGATTTGCAAAGCTAACTGACTAATATAACTTCTAATCTTCTTAATATCTAGAATCAAATTGAAAATTTCATGTCATTAAATTAACAATGCTATAACATTTTAGTGATTTTCTAACAGCTTAGAGTTGTTGATTTTCCTTAGTTCACGTCAATACCAGATCAAACGTACGACGAGTTCAGGCGAAGCCCGGGCTTCATGAAGGAATATATTTTTCCTGGTGGATGCCTGCCTTCATTAAATAGAATAACATCAGCTATGGCGACTTCATCTAGACTCTGGTAAAGGCCTGCATTGTTTGTATAAACATATAGTTGGGTATTGTTTCTCTTCAACTTCTCTTTTCTGAAAATTTACGGAAGTGCTCTAAGTGCAGTGTTGAGCACCTTGAAAGCATAGGCATTCACTTTTACCAAACACTCAGATGCTGGAGGAAAAACTTCATGGAAAACCAGAGGTAAAATAAACTTTTCTCCTTTCTTCCGCATAGAAATTGAGGATTTCTTCTTCTTAACTCGGGTATGGTGTCTGTGCTGTAGTCCTTTTTTCCCTCTTCTTCTTCTTTAAATTTATTACTGCAATTTTATATTTATGAATTTTTATGAACTGTAATATTTGAGAATAATGGCATACTATTTGAATTTTGATTACTTCACCATTACTGAACTTGTATTTTTCTTTTTCCTCTGGTGATTCTTCTTTTTGAATTTCGATCTGCAGCATTTGCCACTATAAACATATCATCTACTCGTTACGTTATTAAAAAGTACATTAAGTTTGAAATATCCTCTACTCTTGTTCTCAGCAAAATTCTCACATTGGGATTCGATGAAAAGTTCATCCGGACATGGGAGTATTATTTCGATTATTGTGCAGCTGGTTTCAAGACTGGTACGATTGGAAATTATCAGGTATCTCTCCCTCTTGTGTCGCAGATTTCTTGATAAGGTCCTATCGTTCTGTAATGAGCCAAAACAAAAATGAACCACATAAATCAGGTGGTATTCGGATGTCCCAATGCGAATGCAACTGTGCCATTGTGGTTCCATAGCATACTAAATTACAAGTTAGTTGTGTTAAATGAAATCGTGAAAATCAACCGATGAAATTATGAATATGGTATTTGACAAGAAGATCAAGTAAAACACTTGTTTGGTCTGATGAATTGCATGATTCTTTATTTTCATACTTACTGAGGTTTGAAGACTAACTAGTATGAAAATTTTGGTTCTATGACTCAAAAAAGTATTTTAATTCCCTCCAATGCAGATTGTATTTTCTCGACCGGGCAATGTCACCATGTTTGCTGATGCATATGAGGATCTACCTTCTGCTTGTTGATCGTGTGAACCCTAGAAAGATTGTATTGTTTGAACCTTATATTTTGGCTGTCTCCTTTATGGATTGCTTTCTCTGAAGATGAATCAACTATATTCAGGAAAGGTGACAGATGCCTATACATAAAAACTATATTCCTATGGTTGCTGAGAAAAATGCCTTTACATAAAAATGGCATTGCTACTTACCCAAATGACAACCAACTTGCGATGTCAATTTTGGCTTTAATTGACCATGTTAATGTTACGATTTGTTGAATAAATGTAATTCAAAAAACAAAATTGTTGTATTTCTACGTTGTCAAACGAATGTATGTATTTCAAAAGAAACCTTCCAAGGCTTGCATGTTATGAAAAAAAATAAAAAATAAAAAAATCAAAGTTGGTTCACTTGAAATGTACAATCACGTAAATATGTATTATATGTTAATTAAAGTAAAATTAATATAGCAACCACGACGACCACGCCAAGTCGTTGCAATGTCTTTAAAAAAAATTCATGTCCAATGTTTTTCTATCTCGACCAACCCTTAACTCCGATTATCATGAGACCATTTATAATCATCCAATATATTTAAGTAATTATATTGAGCCATGATTTGTTAAGTGTTTACCGTTTAGTCATAGGAATATGTGCCACCAATCAATTTGAATGTCACCCATGACTTGATATGCATGGCGTACTCTATATATATATATACACACACATACATATACATATATATTCCCTCCCCCAAAAATAGTATCGTACAGTTCCCGAAGCACGACATTATTTTTGGGACGGAGAGAGTATCTATGTATTATATTTTATCCTTAAAAAAATAAAAATAAAACTATTAATACAGCATAAGGCGGCCATAATCAATTTGCAAAGAGTTGCAATTCAAACAAGAGAATCATCTTTAATTATACCACTGTTAGTCTGTTATGATGCATTTATATTCTATTTTTTGGTGAGCCCTTAAGGCCTCTTTTAACTCATAGGTACTCTATTCAACACCTAATCCATAATATTAATGTTTATTTTAGACTATAATACTTGGGGACTGAACTGTTGTTGTTGTTGTGTTTTTTTATTTATTTATTATTATTTGAAATACATTCATTAATTTGATAATGTAAAGGTACAAGAAGTTTAGAAATAGATTTATTCTCTTTAAATTATAACAGCAACAACGATGACCAATAAAAGTCAACTGGACAAGGGAAGAAATAGACAAATTAAGATGCTTCAAGAGTACCTTTGTGTTGATCACTCATTCACACTCTTATGGACAATGAATTATATCGGTAAAACTTGAAATGTTACATTATCAAAGATCTAAAAGAAAATAGTTCTAGAGGTACTTTTTGATGAATATTTCAACCATCCGTAACAACAACAAATAAATAAATATAAATTAAATAAATAAAATTTCATACTTCAACCTAATGGTGGTAAAATGGGTCAGAAAACATCAATATATCTGTCCATATTCGCCCGTTTTTTTAATGATTATGGGTACACTATATTTAATTTGAAGGTCAAGATGGGTTGGGTAATTTTTAACCACTTAATTTGAAGGTCAAGATACTATATTCAACTCATATTCCACACATCACATAATAAACACACAACATACATCTATTCTATATTGTACTCAATATATTTTTCTCTCTAAAATTCTCTCACTCACAATCCTCGCTCTCTCTCTAAATTTGTTTCCCATCATTCCCCCCTCTCTCTAGAAATTTCTTTTTAAAAAAATAATAATTAAAAAAATTTAAAAATAATTGAAAAAAATAATTTTAAATAATTAAAATAAATTTTAAACCTTTTGAAAATAAATAATTTAAAAATTAAAAAATATTTTAAAATTTGAAAAAAATATTTTTGTTATGAAATATATTCTGAATTTAATAGTTGATTGAAAGTTTGTTTTATAATGTAAAATTTGTTACAATATTTTTAGAAGTAAAAAGATATTTAATCAAAAAGTATTACAGTACAAGATTTAATTATGAATTATGAAAAATAAAAATAAAAATTTGCTCAGACTATATTGTTTTGCTATAGTGCGAAAATATTAAGAAATATTTTTCATGTAAGCTTTTTTTTTTATAACAGTTTTATTCAAATAACAACAAAAGTTATCAAAATATGATTTGATTTTTTATCAATACATAAAGAACAAAACCAAAGCCAAATCTTTATTTTTGTAGAACTTGAGCGTTCAACCATTTTGTTTTCAAAAAATAAGATATTATCAGTAGATAATAGGTTATGTATGCAAAAAATATTTATTTATATATTTATTGAATTTTTTCAATTCTTTTTATCCAAAACCTACTGAGTAAAACTATAGGCCCCGTCGCTGTAAATA